GCTTGAAAAACAAAAAGGTGAAGAGTCCCAGCTATTTAAACCCTAATGGAGGTTGTTCTCTATGGAGGTGGTAGCTGACCTACCTACTATTAATCATGAGCTAAGGTTTGAAAAACCGCATGTGTCATTACCAACAGGGGTTCCAAGTAAAACCACTGGCATCATGGGAGAGTTTCTGCATCTAAATTTCACTCTTTCATGGATGCCAGCATATGCTTGTCAAATAAAGCCTGACTTTAGTTTAGTTTTCCTTCTATAAATAGAGATATTTCTAAACTGGAAATGTTCAAACTTCAAACTGGCGCAGAAAAACAATTCAAAGGGTATTAAGTGTCTGATGGTTCAAATTACCTTGAAGGACGATCATTGCAGTATACTGTAAAATGAAACACTGCATATACATATTATACTAGAGAGTACCTGTGTGTAGTATGAATAACATAACCACCGTACCAGAGGTGTACGCACCTTTTGCAAGGCACTCAAGGAAACCAATGAACAGCCTCAAAAATAAATGAACAGGTGGAGATGCAGACTGTATTTGCAGATTACAGCTCCACCACAAATCAAACTTCCATATTACAGCGAGACTGCTCAGCAAGGGAAAATAGTCAATCTCAGTAAGACTGAATGAAGACAAAAAATTAATTGCATCTGCTCACACATTACTCAGCTGTAAGGTTTCCTAAGTACTCAGATGTAACACTGTGGAGGAAAACCCAAAGAAATGGCAAACAGAAGTTCATTCTAATAAATTGGAAATGTGGGTCAAGTCCGTCAAATGGAGAAACAAAAATTGTAACAGTGAAGACAAAAAAGTATGTATAAAAGTCAAAACATTTTAATTAAATGATTAATAAAACAGATAAAAATATTAAGAAGACTCCGTGTAATAAACATCTTCAGGTATGCTGGGTTTCAAATATTGCATAGCAAGAAAAAACTGCAAATGTGAACACATTTTTTTCTCACTCTTAACTAACTGAAGCCTGTCATTGACTACCAGATAAACAAATTGGTACTCTCTTTATGGCCAGACACGTGCCAGCACTTTTAATTTTGCTTCTACTTAACAAAATAAAAATGCAGACATAAGTGTACACATTAGTTTTAGGTTTTGACTGCTAGTGAAAATTGTTTTCTTTACAAATAACTCTCTCACTGAGCTAACAGCCAATCCCTCGACACGTTTGTGCTCTCTGCTCATATTGCCTTTGTATTAAATAATTTTTTTGCTGTTTAAAGGACTTATTTTAACATTGCACTGAACAATAAAAAAATCCTCCCTAACAAAGAAAAGGAACTTCAAGGGCCAAAGTGCATTATATTTCTTCACGTCAATATACGGGCTGCAAATAGGGGTGATGTGGGCCGGAAGTGGCCCCCAGACCGTGAGTTTGAGACCCCTGTATTAGACAGTGATCTTGAGCTTCACTAACAAGGAGTACTGAAGTTGTTATGCCAGCACATAGTTTTGCAGCACTTTACTAGGACACGTCCTGTTGGCTTTTCCTTGTCTGTATTTTACAGTTACACACCCATACTCAGGAGATCCAGTGAGATTAATTCTAGGTAATAATTATACTGTAGTTCACCCTGCAGCAACATCACTTTCAGTTACTTGGTACACCAGGTACAATAAAATATGCTAATTTATATCTAAATCACAGATTTGTACTCTTATGTGGCCTTCCCAAGTTTTACAGCTTCATTAGCAATGTCTCACTATCATGATAATCCTTTAACCACTATGACAGTGAGGAGTGATGAGGAATTGTTTACGGTAGATGCTTTATGAAAGTACCTACAATACTATAATATACTACAAATAAACTGCACAATTTTAAAAATGCATTATAAATCCAATTTAAATTTTCAAAATTAAAACTATTCATTCAACTGAAAAATCCCCCGCCAATGTTATTCTGCATTATCATGGGCTCAGCTAATACTTTTGTAAATCCAGCTCATTAAATGTGGGCCTCACAAGACAGCAACTAAAAACATGTTATTTTATAGAATACGAAGAACAGGCAACAATTTTCCAATCTTCTGTTGTTGAATTTTGGTGAGCCTGTGTCACCTGCAGTCTCAGTTTCCAGTTCTTAGCTGAAACGAGTAGGACCTGGTGCGGTCTTCTCCTGCCGTAGCCCATCTGCTACACAGTTGGAAGTGTTGTGCATTCAGAAATGTTCTTCTGCATAACTTCATTGTAACGAATGGTTGTTGAGTTAAATTGTTTGAGTTGAGCCTTCCTATCAGCTTGAAGCAGTCTGCCTGTTCTCCTCTGAACTTTGACATCAGGAATTATCACCCACCCACAGTAGCGGTTTTTGATACGGGCGACACGGGCGGTTGCCCGGGGCGGCATCGTGGTGGGGGGCGGATTCACGGGCAAAAAAATAATAATAATAAATTGGTTCTACTCATGCTGCCCCGACATCAGCCAGCGCATTTTGGGAATGGCATAAGCACCGATCGGTTTTCTATCGCCCATTTGCTGGGAGTAAGGGCGCCCTCCGTTTGCGAGGTGCGCCTGCTGCTTGCGGTACAGGGAGGAGAGGGCGGGGCGGCGGGGGATTCTGTGGCTGGCTGGAGCAGCATCTGATAACCAACTCAAAAAATAAAACAAAATAAAAACAAAACAACAAACACGAAAACACGAGACATTATGATACAGACTTATAATTTGCACTGATATTTTTTCGAAATTCTATACGCGAAAAGTGAGCGCGAGAGCCCTCAGTGCGCCTGCGCACTGCTGAAGTCAAAGTAAACTTTATTGTCATCTCCGCTACATACAGTCCAGAGAGACGAGACAACGAGGCTCCAGTTACAGCAGTGCAAGTAAACAAACAACAAATATAAGAATAAGAAAATAAATACACACTTTAGGACCAGGGGTAAAGGGATCAATAACAATTTAAAATTTATAATTTACAGTTTGATGATCTTCTCACACACAACCTGTAGACAGGGGAGGGAGGCCGGCTGCTTCCAGATAGAGCACATTTCATTCATAATGATGTAAATCCAAGCCCATTATGTGTTTATGATCTGAATCCTGGGTTGTGTGAAATCCCAGAAATGCACCCTAGACAAAGTGAATCTGTGAGCTAAGGTGTAGGTCTATTAGGTTATGTTGTGGTGATCCTCGAGTTGGGAGATGGGTGTTCATACTGGAGTGCAAAATCAAAACCAATGGAAGATGGACAAGAAAAGTTAAAAGCCATCAGGTGCTCAGTTTAGAAAAAAGAGAAAAGAAGAGGAGGAGAAACGAGCAAAAGATGCAGGTAAGCAGATGTGTCATTGGATAATGGCAGGTCATCCTGAAAGAATCAGAATCAGAATACTTCATTAATCCCTAAGGAAATAATGTGGATTACAGTTGCTCCAAAGAGAAATGGTAAAAAATAGTAACAGTAACAGACTAAACTCCAAACAATACATTATGTTACAGATTTTAATATTAATTAGTCAGTGTCAATTGTTGATTTGTCCTGTTCTCATTGTATGA